TTAGATACTTAACCAACTGAACTACCCAGGTGCCCCATGAATTAGGAATTACATTTGAATGCTGTATTTGGTTATTTTGTTTGTAAATTCCTACAGACAGTCTCCTGAACTAAAAAGTTCAGTTTCTGAAGGTGTGTTCATAAGTCCAGAGTACGGGCTAGTATCACCTTTTCTGTACAGAATTAAGTTTTGAAAAAGCTGTATGTTTTGTTTCTTTCCTGGTTTTTTACTTTTCACCATCACTGTAAATGCTTTCTCTTCATTTGTACTTAAGGGAAGAGGTGGAATCAGTGTTTGTAAAACCATTCAAAAATAAGTACAAGTGCAATCCAGTAAGCCAACAAAGGACTTGATAAACTAAAATGACAGAACACAGCCATGAATGCTTTTTAATGGTGAGGGGCAGAGGAGCTTTTTCTTATTTCTCCTGGTTTCTTTGTTATTTCTTTGCAGGTCCCTAAGATCAAATAACTTACAGAAGAGGTTCTGTTTATGTTGTACCCCTCTTTCCCACACGTACGTACACACGGGCACGTGCAGACACAGACACACACCCACCCACACACCCACCCACAGATGCTTTGTAAGTGATAGGCTGCTCTCAGATTAGTTTGCTTGGAAAAATCAGATGGAGACTCTCTTTCTAAAACCTATTTCATGCAAGGCAGGCAAATTGTGCCCTCATTTTCTATTGTCTCTGGCTTCATCTGTAATCAGCAAATGCAGCCCCGCCGCTGAGACAGTGCTTCATCTGCAGTTTGTCGCTCTCCCCTAGTCTACACAGCACTGAAGCATCTCATTTTGAAATTCAGGAGTGGCAGGAGAAGGCTTTGGTGAGAGATTATAATTTGAGAGATGGGAAAGTCAAGAGGAAGATCACCTATTTTGTAGAAGCCTGGGTGTTGAAGGAAGTAGTCGTTCTCCTGAGCCTCTCCGCATGTGTGCCGCTGTGACCCTGCCCTCCGTTACCAGTGACCTAAAAATCACATAATTTCAACTACTCATGAAACCTATTCCCATCTGTTATGCATGACTTGTGTGCTTACCCCCTCTATTGCCAGCAAATATGTCTAAATCTTTTTACTTCCTAGCCACCTTCTGTTGTTGGCTGGCTGGCTTTCTTGCTTGCTTCCCTGATTGTCAAATGAATGCCTTAAAACATTTTTTTCCAGATATCTTCCTTATTCTTCTGCGCCCACCCCCCTTCTATCCCTCCCAGTGCTTTTCTGCTAAATGCTTCCTTTGCCAAGTATGGGGCCCAGTCACCTTGTTTTCAGAAAATACTGCAGGTAATTTGGATGGACATTAATGTTCTCTGGGAATTGCTAGCCTATATCAAGGTAGACAAGTGAATCAACTGGCCTTTGAAAATCATCATTCATTGAGGGTAAACATTTATTCTCTAAACCATACAGTTTCAGTCCGATTTTGTAGTGGTGCTTTGTAGATTACCCAGGTTTCTCTAAGGAAATTCTCAGATTAGTTGCTCATAGTTTGTTGGTGAATGGATATATGCACACATACACACACATATAGTCATGTGCATAGCTCTTTAGAATGTTGTAAGGGGAGTAATTTATAATGGGTCTGTTTGTCTTTGATTCTTGTTGCTCATAGTGGACAGTTTTTTGTCATTTTTTCACCAAGACATTCAATGAGAAGTTACAAGATTATTTTACTTTATACATGGTAAAGAGCCAGTAAATGTTTACAAAGGGAGTGAATAAGCTGCAGCCTGGTTTATTCAAGAATTATACCGAAGTGTCTATGCAGCAATTTATAAATAAAATGGTATCTTTGAAAGAATAGAGGTAATTTCTAGTCGTTGAACATATAAACCGCTTATATAATAAAAGCCCTTTAAAGACTCTTGATTTCTTCTTACCTTTTAAGCCACCACCTCTACACACACTTTGATCCTTTCTCTCTTCCTCTCCCCCTGCCAACACCCTCCAGAGTTGAAAATCTCAATATTAATTGGAACTAAGATGATTGTACTTGCTGCTGCTAAGACTTAGGCAGGTCTCTTACAAGCTAATGTCACGGCATGGGGTCCATTTGCTCTGTGTAGCTATTCTGTGGTGCGGTGAGAATGCCTTGATTAATATGCTACATGAAAATAAAATGGATTTGGAAAAAATTATACCATACTCTCATAAATATTAATTCACATTTGTATGGAATTGCACATAATTTTCAATATACTTTGGAGCACCTTCAGTATGAAAGGAGATTTGGTCTCCAAAGAGAATGGCATAATTTTTTTAAAAGCGCAGTTGATACATTATTAAGTATCATTTGTTTATTAATCCGATACTCTACATGCATATAATGCGGGCAGTAGGTGGGTTGTGTGACCAGAAGAGGAGTGTTTTTTCTTCTCCTCCCCCCTCCCCCTCCCCCTCCCCCCCTCCTCCTCCTCCTTCTTCTTCTTCTTCTTCTTCTTTCTTCTTCTTTCTTCTTCTTCTTTCTTCTTCTTCTTCTTCTTTCTTCTTCTTCTTTCTTCTTCTTCTTCTTCTTCACTGTTTGGGGAGTTGCAACATTACCCTTAGAAGAAGTAGTACAATTGAGCATATCGCTTAGAAGCAGTCCACGATGGAACTCACCTGGCTGCTTCTGCTGGTATTGTCATCATTCCTGAGTGTCTTTTCATGACAACTGACTGTTTTGGTTGCATATGATGTTAAGTGCAGAGTAGTTTGAGCCGAGCAGATGTCTGGCACAGCTGACTGTGGTAGTGGATGCTGGACAAAGGAGTAAATACAGCAGACATTTATTGAATATTTACCATGTGTTAGGCATAGAGTACAAGGTTCTGAGACTGTGGGATCAATGGCCACGTGATCGCTTCGATCCCAGCTTGTCCCCTAAACACTGACCACCACATCCTCCTTGTCCCCGGAGAGCTGCCTCTCCGATGGCAGAGGGTCAGTCATCTGCACTGATAGCAGCTAGAAGTTAGACCAGAAGCCACTCATTTGCCTTAGGAGATGGGTATTTTTGATGTCGTCTTGCTCCAGGGATAAGGCCTTTTACCCCTCCTGGGGTTTCTTGCTGTTCGCTGTGATCTTGTTTCAGCAGTGCCTGCCAGTTTGCTGTTTCAATGAACTTTTCCAGTTTGCTTCACTCTGTGTTAGTGCCAGCTTGGGGTGTTGTTAAATCACTGTTGTGGCTTACTAGGTTTGGATAGTTTACAGTTGTCTCATTTATTTAGCAAACATAAACATATATACCACCTGTCATTTGCCTGACTCTGTATATAGAGCATTGGGGTTACTGAGATGAATGATAACTTAGTCTGTGCTCTAATTCTTTTCAGGGGTCATGCTGCCAGCTGCCTCAGGGCCTTGGCACAGGCTGTTGTCTCTGCTCAGACTTTCAGAACTAGGTCAAATGGTAGTCCTCTCCTCAGCACCAACACACTCCCTGGACGAGACCATTTCCCCAATTTTAACTCCCTTTTTCTTTCCTTTAGAGCAGATGCTTCAGTTTGCTCTGAAATGTTTGTGTGATCTGATTAGTATTTGTCCCTAAATATTAAGCTCCATGAGGTGGAGATTTTTTCCCACACAGGATTGTTTTCTCTGCCTGTAGGACAATGCTAAATTTGTACTTGGTATGGACTGGGTGCACACAGAATACTTGTCGACTATGTGATGGCTTGAGAACAGCGCTTTGCCTCATAACAAAGGTCTTGCTGAGTAGACAGCCCTTCTAAGGGTCCTTTAACTAGGAAACAGGGTACATGTGGAAGGTAGAGCTTTGAGGCCGAGGTAGAGCAGGTGTAAAGGTCCCAGGTCCCACACTGATGGCCCCGGCCGATCTGGGGAAGGAGCTCGAGGAAAAGTGTGTATGTCCAGTGGGCAGTACTGGGTATTGGGAAGCACTAGGATAGAGAACTGCCCAGGGACAGAGGACCATAAAGGAGGAGAGAGGAAGAGGGGTGGGGAGGAGGGAGAAGGGGAGGGGAAGAGAGCGAGCTATTTTTAAGGAGAAATGGGTAAAGGGAAACTCTCCTTATAGGTTTTTTGTTTGTTTTAATGTACATTTGTTTAGGACCACAGAAACAATTTATTTATATGGGGGTGAGGCTCCAAAGGAGCATTTTTGTGTAAATAGGACCATGTCCACTCATTTACAAATGACTGAGTGCTAAATATTTTTTAATTTTAGTGCTTAATATGTACATTTCTCAGGGTTCAAAGGACATTCACTGATATCCTGCCAGCGGTGTACTTCAAGCCTCCTAAGGAATAATGTCAACGTCAGGCCGTGGGCCCGGGTAGATTCTGAGTCTCCTGCAGGCACAGCGCTCGCTGTAGTCTCTTCCAGGACATCCATTACCCTTCTCCTACCCTTTCTCCCCCCACCCCACCCCTCCCTGCCCCCAGCCACACACAGCAGTAAATGAAAAGTCGCTTTAGATCTTGATGATAATATTGTTGTTACATTTTGCAGGGAACTGGGAATTAAGGATGCTCAGAGGAGCTTGTGGTAAAAATATATAATGCATTAAGGAAACATTTTAATCATATGAATTGATAGTTTCTTTCTTGCTGGCTCATGTCCACCTGGCGGGTATATTCAGTGTTTTGCTTTTTTTTTTTTTTCTTTCAAATCATGCATGCACTTAGTACTGCTTTTCTGAAAGATAATTGATGTACCAACTTGGAAAGTGAGTGTATTGAGCCTCCTTGGGGAATGTCATTGTGTGCTGGACCTAGCTGAGAATCACATTGAAAGCCACTAAGCAGTTTTAATGGACAGATGCTTTGTGCTTTGTTGACTTTTCTGCCCAGCAAGAATAGAAAGGACCTATTTGTGGTGGCATCAGGGACTCAGAATAATTGAGAGCCATGTTTCTCAGTTTTAGGTGTACTCATACCCCACTTTCCTGTGTTCCCCTCTCCCTTCTTGTAACCCATTTAGCCTGTATTTTGGCTGTGACCTTAGACACCTCTATAACCATCACTCCCCTTTCCTTCTCTTCTTTTCTATAGAAAGATGTAGCACTTAAGCCTCAGGAACGTGTGGAGAAACGCCAGACCCCTCTGACCAAGAAGAAACGAGAAGCACTTACCAACGGCCTGGCCTTTCATTCTAAGAAGAGCAGACTCAGCCGCCCGCACCACTACAGCTCAGACCGGGAGAATGACCGCAATCTCTGCCAGCACCTCGGGAAGAGGAGGAAGATGCCGAAGGGACTCAGACAGGTGAGGAGGCGTGGGGTTGTCCTTTTCTGTGGCTGCAAGGTCCCTTCCTCGGACGCCTGCCCCTCTATGGGTCTTCCTGATGGTTCGAGAAGATGGTCTTGCTGGGCTGCTGGAGGGTTGCCCCGCAGAGTCGTGTACCCAAGCCAGGCTTGGGTTTTATCATGTCCAAACTCCCGCGTCAGTACCCTTGTCGTCGGATGTGCTCACGGCAACAAAGCTTGATGCTGGTGCTGCTGGCGTGTGGGACAGACTGGGTGGCAGGGCAGAGATCTTCATGTTGGGACAAATGGAATGGGCATGTGTGATCACATACATTGTGGATCTCGAGGTGCTGAGGTGCTGAAAATGGTTGTGCACGCAGGCAGTGCCTTGCGTAAGATTTCTGCTTTCCAAAGCAGCTCAAATATTGTGGCGTGTGGGAGAGCAGTGGCGAAAAATGAATTTGCCTTTCAGTCCTTCAGTTGTTCTCACAGTCCGTAACTGAGGACTGTCTTTGTGATCTGCTGATTGTATGAAAGTCTGGTGGTAGGACCTGCTGGTCTGTTAATAGTTAGGTTTCAGTGATCCACAAGAAAATACAGCTCGTGGCATTTGGGGAAGCCTTTCTGCCTGTGGAAATCCCCACATGAGATAGATTAATAATGAGAAATGAAGCTGTTTATAGCAATTTTTTTCTGCACAAATCCACAGGCTTTAGTGCCTGCTGAGTTACCTGTGTCTTGGGTGTGTTTTGTTTGTTTTTGGCGGGACCACTCGATGGGATTGACTATCACTTGAAGGAAGCAGAGGAAGGGAGTGTGGTTCACAGAGCAGGTGCTGCTAATTAGAAGCCAAACAGGTAATTTCCAGTTTGCAGATGTTTCTTTGCAGAGGAAGAAATCTGGGATCATACGAAACAGTGGTTCCAAAGCTTCACAGATCATTAGCATCATATTATGAGTGTAATTAAACACAAATTTCTGGCTCCTCCTTAGGACCTAATCTCTAGGGTGTGAGGTCCAGAACTTGGTGGTCTTAGAAATTTCCTATTTGATAATGGCCAGGCTAGTTTGGAAATCATTCTTCTAAAGCCTCAAGAGTGAATTTTTGGCAATGATTTCTAGTGAAAAGATTAGAAAGACCAAAAGTCTCAATATGATCTAGTCTCTGTAATTAGATCTGGGGTCACAGTTCAGCCTGATGGGTAATGAGAACTATATTGCCGGGAAACATCTAGAGTGATGGATGTCAGCACGGACACTGAAGGATCTCAGGGATGTGTCCCCACATCTGACACACAGGGAAGGCTTTCTGAAGGCACATATGTGTCCTGAAATGAAATGCCAGATTGGTGTTGTAATAATGATTATTAACATTTATCTAATGCACGCCATGTTACAGTCATCAAGAAGAGGATTTCTATGATCTGTAATTCTCACAAAGACCCCGAGTAGTGAGTGATAAGATGTTTACTTTCCAGATGGGGAAACTGGATCTCAAAGAGGTAAAGTGACTTATCTTAGGTCACTCACAATGAGATATGAGTCTGAGTGTAGACCCAAATTTCTTTGTGTTCCTCTATTTTCCCTCCCTTGTTTGAGATAAGGATTGGGCATGAAGAGAAAGAGAACTCCAGGTCACAGGTTGTAGGAGGTCTTATAAGTATTTCTAGGAACTATGTGAATAGTTAAGTCATAGGAAGTGACTTTGGTTATAGAAATGGCCTATGAAGGCATAAGAAGAAACATGATATACTACCAAGTTCAGAGGGCAGAGAAAGCGCTGGAAAGTTTGAAAGCAACCACATTTGTATAAAGATTTCTCTCACTCCCTCTCTCTCTCTTTCTTTCTCTCTTTCTAATAATTGTTTTGGACAGAGAGTGGAGTGAGGGAGGAAGGGCAAGGGTCTATAAAAGGTGATGGTCCTGTGGTATATGTGACTCTGTACGAGGTATGTGAGAAAGGTCTCCCGCTGGAGAGAGGCTGAAGTGTGATCACTCCCACTCCCTCAGGCCCTCCCTCCCAACAGAGATGGAGGAAGGCTTCCTACCCTTCCAGACAAGAAACCAATTTAATCCTCAGTCTAAACTACACTGTGGTTCCTCATCCTTGACTCTCTGATCCCAGACCTCATCTGAGTTTTCCATTCTCTGTGCTCAAAACTCTTCTTTCTCCCTTGTCCTCTGGTGATCATCAAAGAAGGACTTGTATGTCTCAAATTCAAGTAGCTTTTGATTCTAATTGTCATCCTTCTGGTACTAAATGGTATTTGAAATCAGACGAGATTGGATGCGTTCAGGGTGGTATGGCTGTAGACTAAATGGTATTTGAAATCAAAGCCATCCTTATTTTAGGCAAAATATTTTAAAAACAATTATTTTGACTCACTCCTTATGAATCATGGAGAAGGAAAGAATGAATCGTACCTTTCTGATCTATGTAAGAATTTTCAAAACAAGCGGTGTTTTTCTTATCTTCAGCGTTGATGCCAAAATATACTCCCCAAATCAAGTGTTATTTTTCTAGTAGGAAGGGAAGCAAGAGTTGATAACTTAAATAAAGCTCTAATACTTTTCATTTGTAGTCTTCCAGAATCACATTTGCTATTTTGAAACTCTGAACAAACTGCTGTGTGTTGCTGCCCATCTGGAAGGTGATTTCTCAGGCTCCTCTCTCTGAGTTCATGGTTCTTTAAACTTAGGAACAACACAGAGATACATAATGTTTTTAAGGTCTGTAAAGGAAGACCGCAGGAAGTCCGAGCGTAATTTCTGTTTGGAGTCTCTTAATTGATAGTCTGTGTGAAGACATTTAAAAGAGAGAAATGGGAGGCAGAGGCGTGGCTACATGTGTGTTGCCCAGACAGGTGTTCTCTGTTGAGTGATCATTGGTAAAAGGCGACACACGGCAGATGCTTAAGGGCCACAGCAGATGCTCAAAAGCCTGTGCTAACAGCACTGGACATTGCTTCCCTGTTGCGCTAGATGCATGGACACATCACAGATACTCTCTCCCTTGCCTTTGCCTCCTACCAGATAAAGTAGGTGAATGTGACCATCTTAGCTGGGAGGGGGCCTTGAGATGAGAATGTGCTTGAGGAGAATTTCAAAATTAATGGATTGTTGCTTAGTGCCTCTTACTAAGGGAGTTATAATCGGAAGAACTACAGAGGAAAGAGGCCTGTAGGAGGTGAGAATTTCGTCTTTATTTTTGACTTGGTGAGAGTGGATTAGGTTTGCATCTTATTAGGAAATGGCATTTCCTGAGCAGGCACCTTAATGCACAGCTTTCCTGTAATTACGGGAAGATGTTACTCCTTCATGGAGAGGAAATAATAGGATTTTTTTTTTACATGAGAATCCGTTGAAGGCAACTAATCTTTTTACCAGGAGAGTGCAATTATATACTTTTATAAGAGAGATGTGTAGTTCTAAAATCAAGCTGCTTTTTCCTTCTCTTGCCTGATTATAAAACCTCAATTCTTGTGATATTTTCTCATACTGGGAAAAGAAAGCTTTTTAACTGGCACTTAACCACCCCAGTGGAACTTATTTGTTGGATTATGTTTTTAAGTATAAACATATACTGATGTAGGGGATGCTGAGCTGGTGGCTGTCTTTTAAAATGGCTGCCCTTTTTTTTTCATGGCAGGCTTGAACATTCTCTTTAATTTCCAAAGGGGGTTTTAGAAATGAAAAGAGGAATGAGTTAACTTTTACAAAAGAATGCAGGTCTTTCTGACCCCCTAGGCTTATATAGAGCCTACACAGAACTATTTGCTCATAATGGGAACATTCAGACCTTACATTTAAACAGTTTTAGCTTTTTATTTTTAGCTAGTACTTCTAAAAAGTACTAGTAAAGGTGTGTGGTAAGGCTTTGGTCCCCCTCTTTACTTAGACTTGGGAGTGGGAAACCAGAACAGAGGGTACTCAGGTTGTCCCTGTAAGGAGCCCAATTCTCTACCTGCAAGACTAAGTCACAATGACATTGCTGAAGGACACATGAAGTGACCCATGGCCAAACCTTCTAGCCAGCTTAGGACTTCCTCAGAAGAATTTTTGGAAAACCTAACCCTTCCCAGGGCATTGAGTTTTCTTTCAGTATGTCTCACTTCTAGACCACAGGGAGAGGAATTAAAATTTTACTGCTTTGTAGTTGAAAACACAGAGAGCAAATGAGTTTTAAAAATAGAGAAGCAATGAGGAAAAGTTAATGGGAGTTAAGAGAACTCTCAGATTTGGCTCAAAACCGGTGTTTCTGAACTTCCATTTAGTCCATCAGCCTGTCTTTTCTCTCTCTAGTAGGAACTGGACCAGAGGAAATAGGCTTAAGTGAACTAGGATGAATTTTTAGGCCATATGAACTCTTACAACAAACAGGTACCAGATGGATCATCAAAATAAACCACAGAGTCTCCCTCCTAACTGAATTTTAGTTTCTAAAAAGGCATTCAGCTGAGGGTGGCATTTCTCAGACAAAGAGGTACCTACTGAGATTGCTTCTCATCATGGGAGGATACCATTTGAGAGGGAAATAAAGGAATTTGGGAAATCTCAGGAGCCTAGCACGTAGACTCTACTAACTTCGCTGTTGAGAATGGCCTATATGGTTTAAAATCTTCATACAAGTGGATATGGGTGCTTGCAAGGAGTGGAAATTGGTTCCTCTCTTTGGAAATCTAGTATGGTGGAATCAGACTTTGTAGAGGATTTATAGCTGATACTGTAGATACCAAAAATGTATGCTGATGTCTTAAAAGAAGAGGGACTGATCCCGGTGCTGAGTCTTTAAAGTTAGAGCTGCATCTGCTTTGTGTATGGCCATTGCATGTTGTTCTTAAGTGGAGTAGGTGGCTGTGTTGGTGGCACAGAAGGGCCCAGGTGATGAAGCCACCAGCTGTGCTCCCATCCATCCTGCCGGAGCAGTCTGTCACTCCCTGCCCATGTGTGGTCCCAGTGAGAGCATCCACTACCTGAAGCTGATCCTTTATCTTGGTGTGACGGACTCACATTGTGTGA